TTAATTATTAATTGTAACAAATTCGTTTCCTTTACATGTTGTTGAATTCTATTCCCATACATATTGTACCTTCGTAAAATCGAGTTCTTTCTGTGCTTTTTTACTATCTTTCCACCATTGTACAATCCACCACGTGATATGACAAATGCGAGGGAGATTTGCCGATAAGCTTATCATTGATTGCCCTCGTTTAAAATAACCCAATCCTGACATTACTCATCCAATTTCTCACGGTTGACATGTGCTTGGTTGCTATTTGAGAAAATAGCAAAGGAGGTTGGTTGGTGGTGATATGCGAAAGTGAAAGATGTGTGGATGAACCAAGTTGTGATAGACATGAGCTGTTGTGATAGACATGAGTTAAACATGTCTTCCAATGTGTGTTAATAACAATGAAATTTTTTCATAGTGAATATTTTTATGGTTAGACTGCGAGAGCGAGTCCCAATCCTTTAAAATGACTTGGTATACTAATATGGCTATCGTTCACGCGAGACGTTTACCCAATCCTTCCTTATGTTGCTCAGAACCAAGTTACCATCATTTAAGTTGGTTCCCTCGCCTGCGAATACTAATTGTAGAGAAGACACCAATTGTTCTTTTCTTCTTCTTCTTCTTCTTCCCCTCAGTGACAGTGAAGAACGTAATTTACATTTATCCACATGTGATAAGGTTATTATTATAACGGAAAGTCAATCACAGTGCGCACATAATGTTTGTTGATCGAAACAGATAACAAGGGATACGTCGATTAAGCACAATTGATAGTTAATAATGGGTAAACAAAAAAAAGTTGTCTTTTTCGAATGCTGTGTAAGTATACCATACTTGTTGTGCTGTCCCTAATTATCTTCGATTCATCCGATTACCCTCTTTATTTTTCCCACAGCAATGCAGGTATGTTGATCGAGTTGGAAGTTATTTATTAATTAAATATGGAACATGTCAGAGGATAAAGCTAATCAGTGTTCGACTGCAGCGGTCAAATTAACTGATTTATCGAATAAGCAAAACTTAAGTTTCTAAGTTTGTACTTGAAAATAAATGCTACATCTGTATTATCACTTGATTACTGTATTATTTCATATGAGTTGTCTAGTGTACCGTCCACCCCAAAGTTGCGTCTATTCCTTCTAGGTTACCGCACAGTTTTTTCACGAGGCTTGGTTTGAGAATAAGACCGATTGGTAAGGTTGCTGTTTATAGACAATAAGATGCTGGTCGTTTGAAGTAGCCGCAAATGGCTTGCATCAGCCTAATAGACAATTTGTAAATGTAAAAGTGATTAAAGTTGGTTAAATATTTGGTATAAATAATAAAATGTTTAATACTAATCTAGTGGAAAAAACTTTTTGTCAAATCCCGATTAATAAAAGATAATAATAATAATAATAATAATAATAACAACAACAACAACAATAATAATAATAACAACAACAACAACAATAATAATAATAACACAACAACAACAATAATAGTCTGCTTTTTGCATGTGTGATAATGAATTTTTCACGTGATCCACACCTCATTCTCACACGGTACTAATAGAATTTGGGAATACCTCACATGTAGGATTCCAAATCATAATATGATATTGGGGTAATTATCACACAAATCGGAATGCACTATCCCCTTTGTATTTTGAGTATTCCGAGTGCCTTCCACTAACGATAATTTGCCAAACCCGACTTGCGTCAATTGTAACAGATAAGTCGTTTGACATGTATTGTATCACGTTGTGTGATTACTTGGCAAAATCTTATCTAACTCACCAGAATATCACAAGATCTTCAAGTCGACGGTAGATTGTATATGATAATATTATAAATAGTATCACACCGAAATGACGGCAATATAATGGATAAATCGTCACTCAATCACCTACTCACCCACCCACTCATTCGTCATTCATTCATTCATTCACTCGCTCAACTCTTCCATTATTTGTATGCCCCAAATGTTAAACCCTGTGCATCCAACATGAAACCACTCATAATGGTGTAATAATTTGCATAGTATTGTAAAAAATACAGCAACAGTTTATTGACGGATAAAGCCGGGTTCTGCGAGCCCACCTTTAGACTTTTAATTATATTTTAAACGCTTGAAAAGAATTAAGCTTAATGAAAATGGCACACAAGCAATCACATCGATCCACAACATCTTGTCATTGCTGATAACTTAAAGAAAAGGAGACACACGATAAATATAAAAGATGATGGATAATGCTGTATAATTTATCATTGTATTTATATTTACTATTGTTGCCAATTAGATTACCAACGCATCAGCACTAATACGTTATCCAATTAGCTCATCTCTAGACAAATTGTGTTCATTACTTGCTGATTGAGCCTAGTGATACACACAAGTCGAAAAAAGCCTCAATCAAGATAAGCAAGTTTTGATACAATTAATATGAGATAAGCGAGGTCTTTGATAAGAAAAGATGAGCAAGCTCTTTTTAGCACTATTAAACAAATAAGGCTAATATAAAAAATATATTGCCAATATGATGTACTACTGCATCAGTAAACAGTATGTTTATTATTCATCAAGCCAATTAATTAGCAACTTTATCCGTCCGGTCAAATTTATCAAGCGATTTCTCCATCCATCCGCCATTCATGGTCTAATTAAATGGATTTAATTTCCGTATGAAGTGATATTCCGTCAATTAACTCAGTTTACTACTATACACAGAACATTCAAAGTCAAATATGGTATTGCGGGAAGGTGATCAACGAATAGCTACAACGTAAATGTGGGTAACCGACAATGAGACAGACTGATATCATGCAGTCTCGGTATGTCAACGAGATTAGCAAGTGCTAAGCATATTATGGCGATAAATTAGCTGTACTTGGCTAATCAAACATCCAGAGAATTATAATTTATGATGCATAATATGTTTATTCTATATTGATGTTTGCAGGTACAAAACATAGTCAAATATGACGTTATATGTAATATATCTTTGTTTTATTGTTATCACACAATAACTATTTATAGAAGTAGACGCTGCAACAACTATAACTCAAAATACTAACAAACTGATAAGGATGATAACACACTGCATAAGGGGGGGAGAAAAGAGGAGGAAAAAAAAAAAAAAGAGGTTACATAATAAAAAGTCCATGATACATGAATGGGAAACTGGGTAATCACGAAAATGTATATCATCGCGTCCGACGACAAGCGACGAACGACAACAACTTTACTTCTTTCCCTTCCTCTCCCCTCTAAACATTTGGGTTATCATATCATAAATCTCATTACTTGCTGCCGACTACTTGGCTACTTGACTTGGTCACTTGACTTGGCTTTTATCTAACGATCCACATACAAATGGGGTAACATGTATTAATTAAATTTACGGCATTCGGAAAATACATGAGCGCTTACATTAGAATGCTGGTGAAATCGTGAGATATTATAGAAACCAAATAGAACGATACATGTTTACGCCTTTGCTCACGTAGTATTACGCACATACTAACAGCTCCCGCATGTTGCATACTATCCAATGCAACCTCATTTTCCACTTTCATATCGAAAAAAACGCTCTCCTTTATCAATGCTATTTTTGTTCTACTTTTGGTGGCAGACACCTGCATACGTTTCATAGGCTATGATGTTACTACGATGATCACATCCTACAAAGAACAATTTTTTTTGTGGGTATACACTTTATATATAACAATGGCAGATGCATATATTTGTAGTAAAGGTGTGAGATGTTCTAGACTATTAGGTTGTCGAGTGATGTCATGATGATAATGTGTAAATGCCTTCACACATACACACATTAGGATAAATGCCTCCACACATACACATATCTGTCCATAGATACGATTGATATGAGACAAGTCAGGTGATGGGGATTATTAAGAGGAGAGTTATGGATGTGTATGTATTGGATAATCACGTAATAAGCATAAATTCAATAAACATTTTTATTCATGGCCTGTTGACCAATCTGTCATCGATACACTTAAACAATTAAATAATAATAGAATGAAGTATAAAAATGAACAGTGATTATTAAAATATACTCCTATTCAACCACATTAATAATAACGGGATTAGTAAATCATTCTTTATTCATCGCCGTTGTTATTGTAAAATCATTCATTCCGAGTGGCAATAACATAAATAAACCTATTCTAATTAATATAAATAGCCTATGATTGCATATTATGTAATAGAGTGTAGATTATAAACATTTAAATATATACTGTGTAACATCTCTCATACTCTTACTATTTATTTATACGTTGTTATTTATCTATTTATCCTGCGAGCCCCCAATTTCCTTCAACTCTAAATCGATTTATAAGGTCCATACTCATTTATCTCTTCCTTCCCCACCAGCCTTTTTTTTTCTCTCTAAATCGCTTACTTTTTGGTCATTGACTGGCCAAAGAATCTCTCTACAACTTATAATCCAAGAACTTCAACCATAAGCACGCAACAATTCCACTACTGTTGTTGAGAACATACAAAAAACCCACACTCTCAACTCTTGCGGAGGGCTGAAATTTACTACTTCTTAGACTATAGAGTAACAAAACTCTTTTGGTAAGTATCAAAAGTAAAAGAGCACATATGACAAGGCGCATTAGAGAGAGAGAGAGGAAATAAGAATCTGTGTAGTTAGGCTCCAGTCCTCTGGGTAGGTCGTAAAGAGTCCGAGTGTCTACGCTATTATTGCCTTCTTCTTCTTCTTCTTCTCCCCCCTCCTCCCCCCCTCTCTCTCTCTCTCTCGCATACTGTGAATATTTAAAGACGTACCATAGCGTACTGAAAAATAGTCTTGTCATACTATTTTATTTATTTATTTTTTGTATGTTTCAACTTGCTCAAATACTGACTTGTTTATTTCGCAATTTCCAACGTTCGTTCTTATTCACCAGCTAGACATTTTAAATACAACATTCTACACACTACACACAACACATATATCAACATCAACAATAGACTACCTAAAATAAATTTCAATGGAGACATACTACGGTTACGTCAAAGCACCCCAAGACGCCATCATACTATTCGAAGCCTGTCGTTTAGGCGGCTTAAATCGCATACAACGTCGTCTCTCCGAGAAAGAACGCTCGCAAATTCGCTCGGGTTCAGTCTTCGTCTGGGACGAACGTGAAGCTGGTATGCGCCGTTGGACTGACGGAAAGTCATGGTCAGCTTCCCGCGTTAGTGGCTCGTTTCTCACATACAGAGAACTAGAATCAAAACGAAAATCAGGATCACGCGGGAGCAACAACCTTAACGATCTTTCTAGTGAAGATACAGACTCAAGTGAGAGCTACCAGGGGAAGAAAATTTCAAGTACGACGGAACAATGCAGTAGATACAAGCACGGCGGATTAGTTAAACAAAGCTTTTCTATTACAGCCAGTAATCACCAGAAATTGCATCTTATCTGCTATTATACTAAGGCAGACGTAATAAATAATAAACTACAGATACCAAGTCAAGACGAAAAACTAAAATCAATCACAATCCCCAAGGGAATGTACCCAGAAACGTCCAGTGTCGACAACGCCGGTCATATGCACTACGCCGGTCAGCACCATGCTCACCACCATCATCCACATCATCCACACCATCCACACCATCAACACCAACACAGTCACCCAACTTTCTCAAGTGACGGCAGCACCCCGCCTTATCCCTGGGCTCTCCACCATCATTCACATATTCACGCCGCACATAGATTATCTGGTTCGGATCCAATGCAAATAGACTCACACTCGGCATGCTCTACTCCTTCGATCTCATCTTCACCATCGACTACAGAAGAAGAATTCGTGGATCATTTCAGAAGAAATGGATCAACTACTGCTACAACGACAACGCCGCCAACAACATCATCAACACCGTCGATGGCCATTTATCCACCAGCTAAATTTATCCAACCGGGGGGTAGCGATACTTCAAGTTACGTTGGGTCGGCACCGATCAATATTCCTAACGGGAGGTTCACTTTCCCTCAACCTCAGCAATTGTCTTTCCCAAGTAGTTATCCTCCACCTACTCAGCTGCCACCACAAGACATTCGATGGGATAATACTCGAAACAGTGAAGATCAGCGGCAGTTGAATGCAATCTACACTACTTTAAGATTGTAAAATGGTGTGTGCGTTATGGGTGTACGCCGGGAATGTGTGTTGTTAATGCTGTTGGCATGGGGACGAATGTTTTTAATTACTTACACGTGCAAGCGGGGTTGTGATTTATGAATAGGTGTTTTAGTTAATTGTGCGGGATCGGATGGGATTTTTATCGTTGTAGTCAAATTTCTTTTAAAAAAAAGAGGCGGGGATGTGTTGTATTTCAATACAGTTCTCTTGCCTTTCCCTTTACCATTTATACTTTCTTAATTGTTATAATTCTTTAGCTTTCCCTTTTATTTTTTGCTTTTCCTTTTGTCACTGAACTTCTTTTCTTTTTCTTTTTTTGGTAATGTTCATATGGATTCGATGGGGGATTTGTAAGTGTGCGGCGACGGTGCAAGGAAATTAGTAATTGGTTTCTTAATTGTAAGAAACACTAAAGAACAAAGATACAAAAAGGCTTGGTCTTGTGGCTGGTTTCCCGTATCAAGCGCTTTTTTCTTTTTCAAAAGAAGTTATTTCATCTGCTGGTTTCATTTTGAGATAGACTTAATGTCACCACCCATTCTTATCCATTCTTGCAAATACCAGTTTCATATATATATATATACGATATATGATTAGGACTTTTATTTGTAATGCCTTGGTTTATATTTTTTTTGTTTTTCCTTTATATCTTAACTTTCTTTGCTGTGTATAACCATTATATATATTATAATGTACAGAGTTTTGTTCAACTTATAGACTTATTCTTTTTTTTCTCTTTTAGACAATACAAAAATCCGAATTTCTTTTTCAACTATATAGAGCATCAACGTTTTTGCTTTTCTTTATTGCTAGACTTTTAGACTTTCAACACGTTCTCGTAGATTCAGTCTACCATAAAAACCTATAAAGTTCTGACAGTTTTTTCAACGCTGTGAAAACTGAAAGGTTCAATTCAAACTATTGTAAAGGTTTTCTAAACTTGGAATGAGACCTAATCCACCTTCCTTTAATGTCATATTTTATGTCTACGCTCTAAGTTCCCCCCTCTTTTACACATTTTCATTGCACTAAGTTTTTACAATCAACTTATTCTACTTATAGATTGAATTATATATAGATTGAATATATATATATATATATATACATATATATATTTCATCCAATACCCCATTGTTATTTTGTTTCTCTACGCTGAGAATATTACTATCATACCTACAAATACATGCTCGTGATCTACAACAACATATAAGTGAATGCCATTTGTTTGTTAGTTGACTGTGCCTGTATAACTTAAAGTGCCGTATAGTCGACTAGTGGTTCCATATTAGGTTCAAGTATATGCAGCAATCGGCGATTGTCACTGTTGCGAGTTGTATGAATCGAGCTTATGCATGCTCGGATCGTGTTTCATGTTTTCACACTGTTTAACTGTAATTAGGCGCACAATTTGTTGTCATAAGAAAGGCGCGCATCTTGCAGATGAACACATGAGATTAATATTATTTGATACGAAATCAGGTTTTCGCCCGGTACATAATCACGTAATTGGCCAGATCCTCGTTGCTACTACTTCATAACCACTAAAGTTGCTTCAGGAATAATGTACTAAAGCGAACATGATGTCACAATTGCTGGTGTTTGACTAATCAACTTTTTGCTGATTGGGTGTATAGCAGAGGAAGCATTCAACGCCAAATGCAATTAATGTTCCAATGTTGTTAATCCTTGTAAATAGAGCAAACCCATGTAAGTTATTATGCTTCACCAAATTATGACAACCCGAAAGGATGATGGGCAAACGTAGTATTCCGGAACTCTTGATGTAAACATCGAAAATAGTGAATTGTAGATTTTTTACATGTAGAAAGTCTTGTATGCATGTTGGCATACAATGTAACGCGCAAAAAGCATTCCCGAAATACATAACAAATTCAAAGTATGGGTTTTTGATTTGTAGCGTCACAGTATCATGAAAAATAGAATCTCGCCCCATCTACTAAACAAAATCAAGCGCAAGATAAGAGTCATTTTGCCCCGTTGGGAAGTGTTACAACAGTTGAAAACGGTACAACTATAGAGATAATGAATGTAAATGGCATTGATAATTTAAAAATAGGATAATGCGTCCACTTTTTATGCAAGCATAATTAGAAAACCCTGCAGATCGAAGTGTCGCACAGTTGTAAGATTCAGATATCTGGGGTTGATATATCGATATACCACAGCGTTATTTTTTGTTATCTTTAATAACATTTAATATATAGTAAGTGGGAATAATTAACCGCAAACATTACTTGAAATTTCTGATATTTCGTTTTGGTCTTCAACTCTATTGTTATAAGTAACTCTATTGTTATAAGACAAGCAGAAAGAGCATATTTATATCCTTATTATGATAAGAAAGTCGTACAATACTGAATATATAATCGAAATCGCGTTTGCTTGTAGTAATTAGTATCAGTGAAATATGTTTTTCATAAATGATAAGCCATGAATTTGGGGAAATCATGTTTTGGTTATAGTCATTAAATATACAGATAAAGCTATCAAGCCATATTAATATGTTAATTAAAGATCACATGATTCTTTACAATGTTATGCCGGACGAACGGCCAGTTAAAGTGATAATACGTTCTTGTTAACAATAACTCTAAATTGGGCCCTAAATCTCGTCCTTCTATTAGATGGGTTCTTTCTAATAGCAAGAGAATCGACAATGATCGTAATTTGTTATCATAGAAATACACGTGCGCACACCGACGTTTATTGTAACCGTAAGTTTTACAGTTAAGGCAAGTTCCATATAGCAGCGAAGAGAGTACTTTATTCCGATTAATCGGAATAATCAGTATTTTAGGGTCAGCAGAACATTGGAACATGGCGAAATTCTACTTCTATTTATAATTATTATTCTGTTAATAAATGTGACAGATTAAAGTTAAATAAAATTTTAAGCCCCACATACTGTATACTCTTCTATCTGTCTTCTCACCGCGCGTGTCTGATTTTGTATCACATGTGGGGAGTATCAAAAGTATTCACGTTCGAAATTTTAATATGGCATTGCCTACGTGATTCTTATACAATATTCGCCTATATTCGCCTATATTACCTACATGGATTGCTGTTTATTGTTTTAAGTTAATCTTTTACACTTTGTTTTGAAAATCTCTATCATTTCAATTTTTGCGTAAGGGTCTTGGTAAAGAATTAACTTCTGCATAAAAGAAAGCATTATTGCAACCAAAAAATTAGGCCACAATAAGACCAAAATTGCAAAAGTTGCAGGATTCATCAATCAGGAAACTTTCCAAAAAACGATCAGGTCGAAAGAGATTTGGGAAGCGATTTTCGAAAAAAGCATATCGTGACGTGGTGCGATCAATGCCAAATAAAATTCGCTGCTGAAGGAGGACATACCAGATACTGATGTAATATAAAATATAATTGCCTGTCTTTTTGGTACTTCCCCCCGGGTAAAATTACTTGATGTTGCGGAGCAATTCATGACAGAACCATAAATTGTTTGGGAGTTATGTACGGTGAACAAGAAGTCCCAAAGCTGAAAGCAGACCATATATTTTAGAGAAAAGGTTGGTCTTGTTGGATAACAATGGATCAGGTACTTATTATTTTACAACCAACTTAATTTTTTCCGCCTGGGGGGAACAAAGCAAGCAGTATCTCATGATCATACTCCAGTTCCATCCGATCGTCTTCCCATCTAAACGTCAGTCGAACTAAAGATTGCCACTCCCTAATGGTCTAGCTTCAATTCGACTTAGAAGACTTGAATGACAAGAAATTTTTCCTCGCCAACTTGAATTCATTTATCTTGCCAAAATTACATCTGTGTGCTAAATACATGAAGTTTTTTTCCTTCAAGTTGTGCTGACAGTAGTCATCAAGTTTGCCTCCAGATTGAATTCGCAAACGAGATACATAAGCAAACCTAAACCTAAAACTCAATTACATACTACATGTCTTTGTCAGCCTGCCATTTGGCAGGCAAGAGCTGTTGAAGAATACATATGCAGACATAACCTCCTGAAGAACA